TTCTTCATTTTATCTTATATATATTCAAATGTATAACGCCGTGTCCATTGCCATTTATATTTTTCGAACATCGTTACGAAACACCGTTAAAAATTGTTTTTTCACCAAATAATATAACTTAAAATGATTTAACTCGGTCAATGATCAGGAACGTATTTTACAGAGAGATGAGAATGAACCCAAAAAGTATAACAGCTGCTCAAATGTTTGGCCGATTGGACGTGGCGACTAATGATTGGACGGATGGAATATTTTCAGCTTTATGGCGCAAAACATTGAAATTAAAAGAAGGAGAGTACGTATGGATGGTGCTTGACGGACCTGTTGATAGCATCTGGATCGAGAACTTAAACTCTGTACTGGACGACAATAAAACTCTCACTCTTGCGAATGGTGACCGATTATCGATGTCATCTAATTGCAAGATAATCTTTGAGCCTCATAATATCGACAATGCAAGTCCAGCTACGGTATCTCGTAATGGAATGGTGTACATGAGTTCATCAGGATTGGACTGGAGTCCTGTGGTGACTGCTTGGTTGAAAAGTCGAACACCTTTGGAGCAAGAAGTGTTTGGTCAATGTTTTACAGATTCTTTTACGCAGGTAAAGACACGTAATTGCCATTCTATAAAATATTTAAAAACACATTATTTATAATTAGATTAGATAGAGATACTTGCGCAAATTTGATCACAAATTTTGTTCAAATATTGATAAAGAAAATTAAACGTGAAGAAAATTATGTCTTATTTTCCAGATATTTCGATATGTATTTTGCTGTTAATATTTCAAGTTTATATTTGTCCATTATCTCACATTTCCATCTGATACAAGTGTATAAATATCCAATTCTAAACAAATTAGTAATGTAATTACAAATTAACATGCAAAATTAATCACATTGTTTTACTTTATTACGAAACTATTTTTCCTATTTCATATTTCCTGGAAAAAATGACTATGAAAATATTAAGTTAATTCTAAAAACTATCTATTTGTATCCTAAATAACATTTCTGACAATATTTTTGTATTACAACATTGTAATATTGTGATATTGTAATTACGACAACATATAATTAATTTATAGATTTATTCTTGGAGCACTCAAGCTTTATCGTTGACAATAGACGTTCTACAATGCAACATAGTGCGACAAATGTTATGTCTCCTCGAGGGTCTAATTCCACCCGAGGTACGCATAGAAGAGAACGACGACGAAGAAACAGAAGATGAAAAACGCCAACCGATGACAGCCGAACATCTAAAACGTTTTTACGTTTTTGCTTTGGTGTGGGGTATAGGAGCACTGTTAGAAACATCGGACAGGCAAAAATATGACTCCTACCTGCGACAAAATTTCGAAAGTTTAGATTTACCAACATCAGAAAAATACCCCGAAGCACAATTGTTCGATTTCTATGTCAGTGAAAAGGGTAAATGGGATACGTGGACAAGCATGGTGACCAACTACGTTTATCCAGAGTATTCGACGCCTGATTACAGCAATGTATTGGTTCCTATACCTGATAACGTGAGAATACAATACCTAATCGATCTAATTGGTCGTCAAGATAAAGCAGTTTTATTAATAGGTGAACAAGGTTCTGCCAAAACCGTCATGATGAAGTCGTACATGAAAAAAGCGAACAGAGAGACCACATTAAGTAGATCGTTCAATTTCAGTTCGGCTACGAGTCCATATCAGTTTCAGAAAACCATAGAAAGTTACGTGGAGAAACGTCTAGGTAGCACGTTTGGACCACCAGGAGGGAAGAAAATGTTGGTTTTCATCGATGATATAAATTTGCCACAAATAAACGAGTGGGGTGATCAAATAACCAACGAAATTGTCCGTCAAACGATGGATATGAAAGGATTTTATTCTTTAGAGAAACCTGGAGACTTTACTAGCATCGTAGACGTAACATTTTTGGCAGCAATGTGTCAACCAGGTGGTGGAAGAAACGACATTCCTCTAAGATTGAAGAGACAGTTTTGCATTTTCAATTGTACGCTACCTAACGAAGCATCCATTGATCGCATTTTTAGCGTGCTCGGAGAAGGTCATTACAACGCTAAAAGAGGATTTTCAGCGGAAGTTAGGAATCTCGTCAATAAAATGGTTCCCCTGACAAGAACACTTTGGGAAAGAACTAGAGCTAATTTATTACCTACACCGGCCAAGTTTCACTATACCTTTAATCTTCGAGATTTATCAAGAATTTGGCAAGGTATGCTTGGTACACTATCCACAGTTATCGATAAGGAAAGTGTGCTTATGTTGCTGTGGAAACACGAATGCAGTCGCGTATTCAGTGATAGATTCACTATACAAGCGGATAAAGACTGGTTCGATGCAGAAATTCTGAAAGTTGTTAATGAAATACTAGGGGAGGATTATACGAACATGCTCGATCAAGATCCTGTATTCGTAGATTTCATGAGGTAAGTATTATCAGTACGATCAACCGCGTACTTAATTTAAGTCAGATTATATAGCTTATCACAACGGTAATATTGTCGATCGAAAAAGAGGCGTGGTAAAACTTCTACCTTAAACAAATATTAACATGTTTACTAGCGTTAGAAAATCATAAGAATTGCTCAATTACACGCACCTTTTACCATTTTCGTGACAATTTTTAGAGATGCACCCGAACCAACCGGTGAAGAAGGTGAAGACGCCGACGTTGAGTTACCGAAAGTATACGAACCCGTTTATGACGACCAAATCCTCAGGGACAGACTAGAAATGTTTCTTTCGCAATTCAACGAAATGCAAAGAGGTTCTGGCATGGATTTGGTCTTCTTCCCCGATGCCATGCTGCATTTGGTTAAAATATCTAGAGTCATTAGACATCCAAAAGGGAATGTAATGTTAGTCGGTGTCGGAGGATCTGGCAAGCAAAGTCTCACGAAATTGTCATCCTTCATTGCCGGCTACAAAACGTTTCAAATCACTTTGACAAGATCTTACAACGTAGCAAATTTTTTAGAAGATCTAAGATATCTTTATCGAACGTGCGGAGCTCAAGGAAAGGGTACGACGTTTATATTTACTGATCTGGACATTAAAGAGGAGGGCTTCTTGGAATACTTGAACAATATTCTGAGTTCCGGGGTTATCAGCAACTTATTCACTCGTGACGAACAGCAAGAGATCATTTCGGAATTGACGCCTATCCTGAGACGCGAAAATCCAAAACGAACGATCAACAACGAACTCGTAATGGATTTCTTTCTTCAGAGGACCTGTCAAAATTTACACGTAGTATTTTGTTTCTCCCCGGTTGGCGAAAAGTTTAGAAATCGTGCTCAACGTTTTCCAGCTCTCATATCAGGCTGCACGATCGATTGGTTCCAGCCTTGGCCCAGGGACGCTCTAATCTTAGTTGCTAAACACTTTCTGCACGACTTTAGCATAGCTTGTACCAGCGAAGTCAAATCTGAATTGGTGAATGCCTTAGGCTCCATACAGGATATTGTTTCTCTGACGTCCGCGGAATACTTTCAAAGATTTCGTCGCGCTACTCACGTCACGCCAAAATCGTATTTGAACTTCATCGGTGGCTACAAAAATATCTACCAAAGCAAACAACATGAACTCGGCGAGGGGGCTAGGCGCATGGATACTGGCTTAGCGAAGCTGGAAGAAGCTTCGATATCAGTTGAGATCTTGAAAAGAGATCTGGCTGAGATGGAAAAAGAGCTAGTTCAAGCATCTGAAAAAGCAGAAACTGTCCTCTTGGAAGTGACAGAAAGAGCAATGCAGGCAGAGGCATTTAAGAATCAGGTGCAAAAAGTGAAAGAGAAAGCTGAGCAATTGGTAGCTTGCATAGCAGAAGAAAAAGCCTTAGCTGAACAAAAGCTAGAGGCGGCTAAGCCTGCGCTGGAGGAAGCAGAAGCTGCTCTGAACACTATTAAACCGGCTCATATAGCTACCGTCAGGAAATTGGGTAGACCACCTCATCTCATTATGAGAATCATGGATTGTGTGTTAATTCTATTTCAACGCAAAATTGGATCGGTTGTTCCGGATACAGCTGCGCCATGTCCAAAGCCTTCTTGGGCAGAATCGTTAAAGTTAATGGCCAGCACCACGTTCTTGCTTCAATTACAAAACTATCCGAAAGACATAATAAACAACGAGATGGTTGAATTACTTCAACCTTACTTTAAGATGGAGGACTATAACATGGAAACTGCTAGACGAGTTTGCGGTGACGTGGCAGGTTTATTGTCCTGGACAAAGGCAATGGCTTTTTTTCATTCGGTGAATAAGGAAGTCCTACCACTGAAGGCTAATTTAGCGTTACAGGAAGCAAGACTCAAGGTGGCCATGGAGGATCTGGCAAACGCCGAGAGAGAATTATCGGAAAGAGAAATGGCTCTGCAAGCGGTTAAGGAACAATATGACTCTGCTGTTTCGGAGAAGCAAAGATTGACAGAAGCTGCAAACGTGTGTCTTAGGAAAATGACAGCTGCAACCGCATTGATTAACGGGTTAGGCGGTGAGAAAATACGCTGGACCGAGCAAAGCAGCGAGTTCAAAATTCAGTTAGGTCGACTAGTTGGAGATGTTTTACTAGCAACTGGCTTTTTATCGTACTGTGGGCCATATAATCAACAGTACAGAGCTAGCTTAGTGTCATCTTGGATGAACATTTTGGCAACTAAATCCATTCCCTTCACTAAAAATCTGAACATTACAAACATGCTCGTAGACAGTGCGACAATGTCGGAATGGACGCTTCAAGGGCTACCAAATGACGAATTGTCTGTACAAAATGCGCTTATCGTAACTAAATCCTCTTCGTATCCTCTGTTAATAGATCCTCAGAATCAAGGAAAAATGTGGATAAAGAACAAGGAATGCATGAACGAACTACAGATTACGTCTCTTAATCATAAATATTTTAGGACTCACCTTGAAGACAGTCTCTCTTTAGGCAGACCATTGCTGATAGAAGACATCGCGGAAGAGTTAGATCCAGTTCTCGACAATGTGCTTGAAAAGAATTTTATTAAATCCGGTTCCATCGAGAAAGTAATCGTCGGTGACAAAGAATGCGATGTAATGCCCGGTTTTATGTTGTACATCACCACGAAATTACCAAATCCTGCTTACAGTCCTGAAATTTCAGCAAAGACATCGATAATCGATTTTACTGTCACGATGTTAGGCCTGGAAGATCAGCTACTTGGTAGAGTTATCCTTATGGAAAAGGCAGACTTAGAAGCCGAAAGGGTGGCTCTGTTCGAATCAGTGATGACGAACCAACGATCAATGAAAGAACTCGAAAGCACTTTGTTACATCGACTCACCTCTTCCGAAGGCTCTTTAGTAGACGATGAAGCGCTTATAAATGTGCTCAGAGAAACCAAAGTAACTGCAGAATCGGTTAATGAAAAACTAAAGGTGTCTGCGTTAACGGAAAAGAAGATCATGTTAGCCCGAGAAGAATTCCGTGCTGTCGCGTCAAGAGGATCTATTTTGTATTTCCTTATTGTAGAGATGAGCAACGTAAACGTAATGTACCAAAATTCGTTGCGACAATTTCTGACTATATTCGATAATTCCATTACCAAATCTGTGAAAAGTCCTATCACTGGTGAAAGAATAAACATAATTCTTCGTCACCTTACCTACGAAGTGTGGGCCTTTACTCTGAGAAGTCTATACGAACGACACAAATCGTTGTTCACCTTGATGCTAGCTATGAAGATAGACTGTCATCGAGGTGTAATTTCTCATACAGAGTTCAACGCTTTTATTAAAGGCGGTGCATCTTTGGACTTAAACGCAGTTACACCTAAACCATTCAGATGGATTCTTGATATAACTTGGCTGAATCTAGTCGAGATCAGCAAACTAGACACGTTCTCGGATATTCTAACGAAAATCGAATTCAGCGAAAGAGAATGGCGAGTATGGTACGAAAGAGAGAAACCCGAGGAAGAGGAACTTCCTTGCGGATATCAGAAGAAACTCGACGTGTTTAGAAAATTACTTTTGATCAGATCGTGGAGTCCGGATAGAACTTTGTCCCAGGCGAAAAAATACGTGGTTGAATCATTAGGGAAAGAGTATGGAGAAACGAAGATCTTGGATCTAGAAGCTACGTGGTTAGAGTCTGAAGTTAGATCACCGCTTATATGTATATTGTCGATAGGATCAGACCCTAGCCCACAGATTACTGCACTGGCAAAGCAAAAAGTCATCCGTAAGCAAGTTGAGAACGTTTAACTTATATAAATATAAAAATAAAAATAAGCTGCGATTTCATTTAAAAGTATAATATGTATTTAATGTATATTTTAGAATTGCGATCGGTGTCTATGGGTCAAGGCCAAGAATTTCATGCTCGAAAATTAATCTCGGACGCTATGAACACTGGTACTTGGGTATTGCTACAAAATATTCACTTATCACTTCCTTTTTGCACGGAAGTTATGGACGCTCTAGTTGAAACAGACATTGTGCACGAAGCATTTAGACTTTGGATGACTACAGAAGTTCATCCGCAATTTCCTATTGGTTTACTGCAGGTCTTTCCTTACATCTGTCAGAAGGGTTAATTTATAGACAAATAAGTTCTTTCTTATAGCCAGCATCATTTCAGATGGCCATCAAATTTACGAACGAACCACCGCAAGGTATTAGAGCCAGCCTAAAAAGAACTTACCAAGGCGTAACGCAGGACACATTGGATTACAGTACGCAATCACAGTGGCCACCTTTACTGTATGCTGTTGCGTTTCTACATACGGTAGTTCAAGAACGTAGAAAATTCGGACCTCTTGGTTGGAACGTGCCATACGAATTTAATCAGGCTGATTTTGCTGCTTCCGTTCAGTTTATACAGAATCATTTGGATGAGATGGATCCAAAACGGGGAGTATCGTGGCCAACTATTTGCTATATGCTTGGAGAGGTTTGAAAATTGCATTAATTATACAAATATTTATTAAAATACTTTTGTGTTACCTTATTTTTGGTGACTTACTATCAGTATATCATCGAGTTGCACGTGGTTGATCTCGATCAAAAAAATCTTCAAAATGATCACACTTCAAAATAATGACAAACATCATAAAACTGAAACGAAAATACAAAACTTCGTTATACCTAATTATTTTATATTTATTTCTATATGCAGGTTCAATACGGTGGTAGAGTCACTGATGACTTCGACAAGCGTTTGTTAACTACATTTACGCACGTTTGGTTTTGCGATGTACTATTGCGACCTGGCTTCGAATTTTATCGTGGATACAAAGTACCACAAACCAAGAATCTTCAGGGATACTTGGATTACATCGATAGCTTGCCTGCAACCGATACGCCGGAAGTGTTTGGTTTACATCCAAATGCAGACATTACTTATCAAATAAATACAGCGAAAGGAATACTTGACACGATTTTGAGTGTCCAACCGAAAGAAGGGAATGCACAAGGCGGTGAAACTAGAGAAAACGTCGTCTATAAACTTGCTAACGATATGCTAGCCAAATTACCAAAGCAATATAATTCTTTTGAAGTGAAAGAAGCACTTCAACGAATGGGTGCACTGTTACCGATGAATATATTTTTGAGACAAGAAATCGACAGGTATACTTTCTTGCATTCTCTTTTTTATTTCTAAATAATTTGCTCACTAGTCGAATTTCTACAGGATCACCAGAGTCATTAAAGAAGTGTATAACACTTTAACAGATTTGAAATTAGCTATCGAAGGTACCATTGTGATGAGCCAAGGTTTACGAAAGTCACTTGATGCGATGTACGATGCTCGCATTCCCGAGAAATGGCTAAAAATTTCCTGGGAATCGGCAACGCTTGGATTTTGGTACACAGAGCTTTTAGAACGAGATCATCAATTCAGGCAATGGTGCATTTACGGCAGACCTAAGGTCTTTTGGATGACTGGATTCTTTAATCCTCAGGGATTTCTAACTGCAATGAGACAAGTTAGACAAATATTCCTTTTTCGAAAATACTAAATTTAAAATTAATTTTTTTCACCGATAAATGAAATTTATTATTATACAATACCTCGAATGAATTAAAAATAATTACTCGTGATATCATCTCTTGAATTGCATCGATAAGAAAGCTGTCGAATATTTGCAAATTTGAAACAAAATAATTTTGATTTCCAAATCTCTATATTTCGCAGGAAGTAACTCGAGCACATAAAGGTTGGGCTCTTGACTCTGTTGTATTACAAAATTTAATTACAAGATTTAACAAGGAAGATATAAAAAATCCACCTCAGGAGGGAGTATACGTTCATGGCCTATTTTTAGAGGGTGCTTCGCTTGATCGTAAAACCAGCAAATTAGTAGAAAGTAAACCAAAAGTTCTATATGAACAAATGCCTGTGATTTACATTTACGCAATAAACACAACTGCAGGGAAGGATCCAAAACTTTATGAATGCCCTATATATAGAAAACCACAAAGAACAGATTCGAAGTACATCGGATCGATCGATTTTGAAACTGATCATAACCCTCGACATTGGACATTACGAGGTGTAGCGCTTTTGTGTGATATAAAATAAAATAAAATACTCCAAACACGCTATTATTTTTCCTTTCTGCTATAATGTACTCGCTAAATACCAATCACATTATGTAATACTAGAACGTCAGATATAATGCATGTCAAACAGTACCAGCTTTTACCATGTAAGGCTTATCAAATGTCTATGTACACCCTTTCAAAGCATTAAAATTTTCAATATATTCAAATACTCAACATTACTTTCTTTTTCTTAATTAAAAAGAAGAAAAATTAAAGTTTTAAAACTGCTTCAAAATATTTTTTATTAAATTTTTATCATTCTTACCATTTATTTTACAGCCTGATTTTATATAAAATTTTATATAAAAGAAATAAAAAAATTTGGATTACAAATTATAAAGATTAAAGATTTGTATAACTTAATTGTAAAATGAACATATTTGTATTCCAATGCGATATGATATATACATACAACATCCTTCAGGCCTTAATGATTTGATTTGTCTTCTGAATTAATTATCAGATAAACGATATTAGCATGGAAGGTAAATAGTAATATACAACATTTGACTAATAATTCTCAAAAAATATATAAACTACTTGTTTACATCCATCTTGGTCTTTTCGGAACGAAAGTTTAAGATTCTGCAAAAAAAGAAGAAGAAAATATAATATAACAATATAACCTGTGATATAATAATTATTGTTCAGGTTTTATACCTTACATCTTGATAGAGGATAGATGTTTATATTTTCATATTTCAAATTCTGCTCATCATATTTAATAATTTTAAATAGAACAATTAATGTTATTCGAATACCCTTTTCATAATATTTAATAATTTCAAATAAGACAAGTATTTGTACATACAAAGTATATACTCTGAGATTATCCATCATTTTTCAGGCAGTTTCCTATAATTTGTCAAAGAAATGTTTTGAATAAAAATTAGTTTTGGGTCTGCTATATACTTAGATATCAAAAATATCCAAGAAAAATTTTTTTCAATAAAGAGGCTTTTTAAATAGCACCTTATATTTTGGGTTTCACAGACTCTGACGATAAGATAGACAAATTCAATGGCCTATCGCGCTATGATCTTGAGATAATCTTGAATTTTGAAATTTAGATTAAATCAATAGGAATATAATAGTAAGGAAAATTATATTACTTTGATCAAATTATATATTCAAAATAAGACTAAAACTACCAAACTAATAAATTTATCGAGTAAATCCAACGATATCAATAATACAATTTCATATTACATATTACAATGAACTACAACTGTATATTGCATATAAATTTCTGAATTCGGTCATCTCAAGGTTATTGTATAGTAAGCTATTGAATTCATGTTAATATCAGCTAAAACTCTATAAAATCCAAAATATAAAGTGCCATTTAATAAAGTTAACGTAACCTTGATTTTTTTATTGGAAAGAAACTTTCTTGGACGTTTTTGATATTGAGTATGTAGCAGACTCGAAACTAGCTAAGTTTTGTTGAAAACATTTCTTTAGCAAATTGTCGCAAACTACCTGAAAAATGAAAATTGTATATAATATACTAAATTATTAATTTATGTAACAATTATGTGGTATACTACATAAATATTATATATTTACGTATATATATAAAGTGATACACTATTATATATTATAGAGTATCTCACCCACATATAGCTTATACTATTTTGTAACAGAAGTGAAAATTAGATAAATGTTTCTTACTTGAAATAGGATCTATAATAATAAACCCTCACTTCTCTCTCTCTCTCTCTCTCTCTCTCTCCCTCTCTCTCTCATAGAAATTGTTTAATTGATATAACAAGCTTAGCTGATATCTAATTTTAAGATATTACAATATATTAAAAAAAAAGTTACACGATTATTCTTCCAATATAAACATATTCTTTGACACAAATATTTTGAAATTTATTTATTTTATGTATAGTTATTCTATCCTTATTTTAAAAGAAGTATCAAATTTTTAATCAATTTTATTATTGTATGCATTTCAGCGTCTGCTTTTGTAGCTCCTACTGCAAATTCAACAATACTAGGAGATGTATCTATTCTCATGGTTACAACAATCTTCTCTGTAACTGAAGGGAATACTGAAGTTGTTATATCTAACCCTATGATTGCCAAGACATCTTGTAATTTGTTTAGCAGATCTTCTACAAATTCTTCAGAAATATAATTTTCATTTCGTGGAATAATAGATGTTAATTTTTCAGTTAGTTCTTTCTGCATTTCAGTATCAAACAAATTCTTAAACTGTAAATGATACTCTGATATCTTAACACCTAAGTTAATTTTTCTAGATGCGGGTAACCTTGAAAGTGCAGGATATCGAGCTTTAGCAATTTGACTATAATCTTTCCTTTCGTCTAATTCTTTATTAGTTCCGACGTGTAAGCCATTTGTCAATTCGTTTATTTTATCTAACATCTTTTTAGCAGCCTCCTGTTTAGCTTGTTTTTTTGTCCTTGCAATACCAGTTTCCTTAAAAGTTGTTACTGTACATTGAATACTAAAAATTTTTGCGTGTGGAGGCCCAACCTCATTAATCTGTTTATACTTAGGTTCTTGTAAATTGTTTTCAATACATAAATCCTACAATAATATGCACATAAATATTATTGTACTGATACAAAGTAGAGGTAAATAAACATAACTTACTTGTAAAGCACCAACTGCATTAATAAATGGTTCATCTGGTGGAGTTCTTTTTACCTCAGGAATTGTTGGTGGTAAAGGGGTTCTTACAGAAGATTGTGCTGGCGATGCTGGTAATTGTAGATAACCTCTATGTGCTGCAATAGCTTCTAACATTGCCTTTGCAGCTTCATGCTTTGCATCCTTTTTAGAACGTCCAATACCAGTAGCAGTAAGACCTTCACACGTTACCCGATATGTAAAAGTATTTATATGTGTGCCTCCCCCGTCATGTATAAGCTCATAATTAGGCGTTACTAGATTTTTCGCCATTATTTCATGTAAAATAGATACTGGTGTTTTGTCCATTATAGATTGTTGCAAATTTATCTATCCTATTCTTAACAATTTGTATCTATATTATAATTCTCTCCAATCAGTAACATTAATGTATCACTTTTTTATTTACTATATGTTGTCTGTAAAAGAAAGAAAATTACTAAATCTAAACATGCTGTAAAAATTTATATATATCTAGAAAGGGTGAAGTATTTTTCAATAAAAATATATTCAAATTTATAATATAACATATTTAATCAAGAATAATTACCATTTAACGATAAATTGATTACAATAGTAACTCTATGTGTTGTACAAATTCTATTAATCACTTTATACTGACACACAAACTTTTAAACACGAAACGAACTTCACTCTTTCCTATTCCCTTAACAATTATTATTATTATTCTTGAGTACGTACCAGTCAAAGTACAGGAAGTCCCGATTACACGATCATAGATAAACATTCGAGAAAAAGAGGTTCATATGAAAATCTAATAGACCGGGAAAGTACAGCTTTTATCTTCATGATTTGTTCACAATTGAGTAGTTGAAAATAAAATTTATTTTATAATTAATACAATCACAACATATAAGGTACAAAAGAAAACTAACGAATAACGAATGTACTAGAAAGGACAATTAAACGATTAAAGGACGATTAGGAGTAAACACAGACGTTAGAAATAAGCAAATGGAAGTAAATGAACATAAAAACCGATCATTATGTAAAACGAAATAAAATTTATTTCAATTCACATAAATATATATGAGAAAGTTCATGAAGTTAATATTTGCTAACATCTGATAATATTATTTCAAGAATTTTCAATATTAACATAATTGAAAGAAAACTGAACATAATTGAAAATTCTATTTAAAATAGTTTATTGCCAACACAAGTATACATACATTCTAGGAGAGTGTTCTCAAACTAATTAAGGCTTATTGTAATGAAATAATATAAACGAATAATATCCAAATTTTAGAAACATTAAGTGTAATATTCATCGTATTATTGCTACATATCAATACTACGAACATTTGATATTAATATATTTTGCATAAAATTATATAAAATAACATACGCTAAATAAAAATTTGTACTCTTTATAAAATATATTAATATATATACTAATATATATACTAATATATATATATATATATAAATATACTAATATAATATAATACATATAACATACACTAGAATATTGTTGACGCATTTCAACTATGTATAGTCCTTAATATTTGAATTTAAAGTATCACAGTTTTATAAAAAATTACCTATTATGTGTATGGTGCAGTGTACTGGTTTCTAACCTTACTTAGTCGTCTTAGTATTTAATAACAGTTTCAGCATTGGCTACAGTGAAATTTTGTTGTCTTGTTAATAATTAATGCAAATTGTTATATGTATATAAGCAGAGAAGAGTGCATAAAAGCATAACGTTAATTAAGTATTCAAGCAATAATGAATTTGAGCTTTTTGAGAACTTGCATTATAGAATTGAAAATTATATCAAAACATGCCAGATGTTTACATTACTTGGAAGGTTCCAGAAATGTTTTAATGTCATTTAGATCAACAAATACACGTACTAATTTGTATGATTTTTCACCCAAATTCTATAATATAAATAAGTTTTTTACTGGCGATATATTGTTAAAAAATAAAGACCGACCTAGCAATAAAAAATCAGTGGTACATGTTAATCTTAATGAAATATCTGATATTGTAAAGGTAGAACGTATGATGTCACAATTTAATGGAGCAATTGAAAAATATAAAGATGAAATGGTAAAAAACTTAGCTGTACGTACAAGAGTAGGTGCTGTTGAAGAGTTGACTATAACATTCGAAGATGAAGAACATAATCTTGAAGAGCTTGTAGATATTAGTCGGAAACCTAATATGATATTGCTCAATGCATCTGCATTTCCACAAATAATCCCAAATATTCTAGAAGCTTTATCAAAATCGAATATGAATTTAAATCCACAACAAGATGGTACAACAATTTACGTTCCATTACCTAAGTAAGTTCCGTTAATATTAAATGCATAATTTGTGTTGTTTTTGTCTAGTATTAATGTTATAAAATTTTATAGAGTCACAAAAGAACATAGGGAAAGTTTGGCAAAAACAGCAAAACAATATTTTGTTAAATGCAAAAATATTATTAGTGATATAAGAAATGAACATATTAAAAACTTGAAAAAAAAAGAAGGTTTACCAAAAGATTTAACATTTAAAGCTGAAAGTTATATAAGTGCTCTACAAAAACAATATGTAGATAAAGCAGAAGAATTGTTGAAAGCAAAACAGAAAGAACTTTTAGGTGAATCATAAAAATTTCAAGTGCATGGTTGTAAACATGTGCTATTCATAGTGTAGTAAACATTATTGTCATCTATATTGTTGATGTACTTTATATCATTGCATCATTTTAAATCATGTTTATAACAATTTCTTGAAACTAATATGGAATAACTAAATAAAATTATTGATGATTAAATGGTATTTTTATAAAAAATAAGAAGTTGACATCGCTATTCTATTTTATAATTCTATTTTTTTACTACATGCAGGACAATATATTTTTTGTAATATTGATTAACCATTAACATAACTGGACTTAGAAAATTGCCATTTTCCATTTATATAGTATAGTTCATTTATAGTTAATATTTTTTCTAACATAGTCTAGAAGAGCTTCGCAAAGTGATTTTGTAGCAGTTTCTAAAACTTCTTTTCTATGAAAACTTATGCTAAGTCGAAGATAATTATGAGATTTCCCTGAATATGAGAATAGTATCCCTGGTATGGCGGATACTTTGTATTTTTTCTGACACCATTGAATAAAATCGGTGGCATTTATTTCTACAAATAAATTATATTTTCATATATTAGAAATTTTCTTCATGATAATAATAATAATCATAATAGAAAATTTTAGATGAAAATATATTACCTAAAGGAAGATGAGTCCATACAAAGTAACCACCTTTTGGTCTTTTATATGAACAGCATCGTGGTAAATAGTAGTCCAATACATTACATAATATTGATAGCCGTTCCTGTGTAAAATATACTTAGTTATTTTTTAGCTGTGTGTTTTACGTACATTTTTAAATATACCTTTCGTTATTATTTATATAAATTTATATCTTAATAAATGTAATTGTGGAAGGATGGATATTTCAATGTTATACAGAAAACAATAATTTTAGATATTTCAGTTTAGTTTAGAAAATATACCTTATATATTTGAGTTAATTTATCGAGATAATTATCTTGAAGATTTAGTTGTAGTAAACTTGTAACAACACCGGAAACGTAATGCTTAACTGCGCCACCATTGCACAAGATTCCTCTAGATAGAATATTTACATATAAGAGTTAAAACAGCAGTACATGCTAAAAAATCTTTAGAAATTTTTTGTGTTTAAATTTCATAATTAATACTTGTTGTGTTTGATACTTGATGAAATGAAAAAAGTAGAATAAAAAATAAGTGTCATATTTACGAAAGTTTAAAGATTTTAGTAATTCGTGGACTACATTCAATCCATCCAAAGCGAAGTGTGGGAGAAAAAATTTTTGAAAACGATCCATTTGATACAATATTGCCAGCTTCATACCCAGGATCCGTTTTTTATCATAGCAAAATAATCGATGTGGCGGTAAACCGTCCCCATAATACAGTAAATTATATACATCGTCACAAGCTATTAATATAGAACTTTTTCTTGCTATTTCAACAAGACGCTTACAATTTTCTATTAAAAAGAGGAGGATTAAAGCCACATCTGGAATTTTTAATAGATTTTGATAAGACGTATCAATTGTAACTTACCAGGTGGTAAAGTTGATCCAGTCGGATTATGAAAAGTGGAAATCGTATAAAACATAACCCAGAATATTTTTTGCTCATTTGTTAAAAAATTACCATTGCATTTTTCTTCCACAATTATTTTTTCAAATTCATCTAAATCTACCATATCGTTCTTCATCGGTACTATATTGGAAATATTTTTTCATTATTTAGTTTTTTATGTTATTACGTAGTTAACAAAAAACAATCGATGACAAATCAAAAAAATATTAAATATGTCTCGATTGATATAATTTTATTCTAATCAAGACATGACCAAAGATTTATAGGATGGTACCAGCCTGATTAAATATGCCGATTAGATATGCTAAAATATGATTTTCGTCTTTTAAACATAATTTTACATACAGACATTGATTATTATTCGACCGAGAAGAAAATAAGCTCGTTATGATTGTACCTGCGACTATTTTCATTAATGGAAATTGTCCGAAAGCATCTAATGCTGACATGTAAGTAACTTCTTCTACAAAAATTATCCCGTTTGGTGAAAGAATGGTATTTAATAAAAGTTGTAAGCCATGCGAAGCTCCGCATGTTAAAATTAAATTTTCTCGTTTCACAGGATCGCTGTAACGTCTGCTCAAAAATTTCGCCAATTCTTCACGACACTCCCATAAGTCTGCTGTGATGCCATATTGAAACAGATAATACTTTCCTTCTTTCTTTTCTTCTTTCTACAACGAAATATATTTTAACGTATATTAACAATAAAATATTTGTATATTAACAATAAAACGTATTAAAACGTGTAATGTAGTAAGTAATGTATTAAGTTTTTACCAAGCGATGATCTGTGACTTTTTTCATAATTTCTACACAGTTTTGGAGTAAGTCAGGACCGGGAACACCGACTGTTAAGTTTGTTGATTCTTCATTGTAGACATTAAATATAGAATTATCGTCGAAAAGATGTCTCTGATAAGGATCACTTATTGTTTCCATGTTGCAAGTTGTGTATTTTCGATAAATAATCCAATGAATTCGATGAAGACTTTTTTTCGACGATATACACTTCCGTTTATTTATGTCGAATCATAAAAGCGCTTATTACATAGCAGAATCCGTGTTTCCTTGTTGACGGACAAATAAATAATTAATTAAGATAATTAATTTGCTAAACATATAACAATATAAGAACACAAAAGATAAAGATACAGTTACACGTGTCTTATTTGAAAACATTTTCATTGTTTTTTCGAGACAGTATCATTGTCAAACGGGATGAAGAAAGAGAACATAATCGTCAGGTTTCGTAAGAATGATGATGGTTCTTTATTACAATAATTTCTTTACGATATATAATGATATTATAAACTTTTATAAGTTCTATGTCCACAACCGAATGGCAAATGCAATTTCTCGCAGCTATTTTATCCCGGTTATCGAACGGTATTGTACAATTTCAAATTCACACTTGTTTTACACGGAATCATAGAGACGGGAACAATATAGGTAGAAGCATATGGAGAAACACGTTTTCTCATTTTTCCTTTTTTTCCGACGGGAGTATCGAAAATGGACGTGTACACGTTTCTCGAGGTACACGTTGATCTGCTCGGCAACGCAATCATTACACATATAATATATTACAGATGAGAAATCAATAACGTAACCATTAATAACGATTAACGCAATGTACACGATACGTATTGGCTTATCATTCTTAAGGGTAAAGGCATGCATTTCGTGTGTAACGAGGATACAAATTCGTGCAATTGTATTGTTGTGAAAAACATGTCGTATATTAGATTAGACAATTTTTATTTCTGAAACTCGGTCCCATTTCATTACAGAAACTCGTTACAAATTTCATTTTATTACTCGTATCGTCACGAATGAGATCGAGGTCTCGTACACATTCATACACGCTTTTCCTGCTAAACGAACGCATTGCCTCGAATCATTCATTTTCCGATTTTCAAAATTTTGATTTAACACGAATTTCCTGTCAATGAAACGTGTTCATCATTTTTTATTTCTTTTTTTCTCTCTAGCGTTCCCTGTACATAACATGGCACGTCCTAATCCTATGATTACGCGGCACAGCGTAACCCCGTATAATTCGCATACCGGCGCTGCGCTTTTAGTTATTTCGTCTACGTCCGTTTCTTTTTTCGTCCGTTTTATACTCGAAAAGAAAAACAGATACAGATTACTTAGTTTACTCAAGTACTTTCCGTTTTCTACGTATGTAGAATATCTTACGCGCTAACCACTAATCTATTTACACAGACGCGTTCCTACATAAAAAATCGAGATACTTCCGTGCGCTCTGGCCGAGGCCAATTTCATTGGTCCCATGTACAAAAGGCGATGGCATAAAAAAATATAGGGCATCGTTAAACATTTAAGTAGAGCCGCGAGACAAGAATCCTAGGAAACGGCAAGCGTCTAAATCTTCCTTCGTTGTCTTCTCAAGTGTTTCGTTCGATTTTACCTCGACGAATCCCTGGATTCCGGTCGATCTTCGCTTGCAACTCGGAAACTTATTACCATTTAAGCAGTAAATTAGGACAATTCGTTGTACTGTCGTAGCTTACTGCGATATATAAGAAGAAGGGAAGCAAAGATAGATCGATAAACGATTGAGATGTTCCTTTTAAGTGTCCTCGAGTAATAACAGAACGTTTTTTATCACAGTCAAGGGGCGAACCGCACAGATGTTCCGCGCCACGAGGCGGTCTGAATATTCGTTACGTGTCTCGAATTTCTGAACGGCCCCGATGTGCATCTTATGATACGTGCTCGATCGCATAAAATAGAGATCCAATTGAATTTACACACACAATTCCAGTTTTAGGGAATAAAAGACAAGAGTAGCGGGTAATTTTGAAAGATACGTGTCCACCTTCGCGCTTTCATATAATCCTCTGTGCTTCGACATTTTAATATAAAAGTTTCTAACAAACATGCGTAAAACGAGTCAACAAAATAAAAGAACACGATGAACCATCAAAGTGAGCCATCAAAGTGAGCCATTAAAGTGAGCCATCAAAGATAGCGTTAGAAATCGAAGACGGAGATAGGAAAGTAACAATTGTTTATGCCATTTACTGCACGTCGTTTCCCTAAACTTTTAGTAGCCTTGTAGAAATGGTAGACAGTACTTCTTTTTTCTTTATTTACAAGCCACCGTGAATGGCACATTAAGATTAACTTTGCACTACTTGTTTATCGTACACGCGCTCAACAACGATTTTACAGTTTATAAGGCGCGAGACATATATTTTATTCGTTCGCGACAGTCAACTCGTTAAGAAGGAAAATTAGCACAGTTTCACACGTTTTACGTCTAATCACAATCAAACACGGCACTTTCCAGCGAAGTGTCTTTTCTAAGTACACTGTGTAGTTTCCTCGAATACGAGGAGCCGGGCTCGTCCGCCATTCTATGTTCATGCTATCACCCGTTGCGTTTGAGATCAACGGACGATCGAATGACACCGGCTTTCCGATTCTACCTTGGAACCTTAACGGAACAGTCCTTATTCGATGTAAGTTTTAGGAATCAAACGGTCGTCTCGTTCTTCCTAAGGGGTTTTAGCGGCTGCAATTCCCGTTCCAGGCGATCGAAATCGTTGTAGTATTCATGGTCAGATTCTTCTTCCGAACTCCTTTGTCTCACTTGAGAACCAAATGTTCCGTTCGTTAGAACCTTTTCCAGATCAGGCGTCGGAATACCTAAAGTTTGCGGGGTTAATGGTCCTTCGTCTTGGGACATTATATACTCAGGATTATCTAACGACGTTTTCCCTTGAATAGTTAGAAATTCAGGATACTTTCGGTAACCGTTGTTGACTCGCTTTGGTTCCATTTCTAGAAACGATAATGTAACTTGAGAATTGTTTCGCGGATATATATGAACGTATTATAATTGTTTGGGAAGAATAAGTATTTTTATTTAAGTGATTTAGAGAAAGTGTTTCGTGCTTACCCGTAGGTTTGGAGTCACCTATGAGATCCATGTATTGCGTTGTATTCGTTGGCAATTGCGGCGATGGCATCAAATAATCATCTTCGTCTAATGGCAAGTCGAGCTTGAGATTACCTACTTGAGCCTGCTGATGCGCAGAATTTATTTCGCCGTCGAAACAGTCGTCTGTCACATCGCAATCTAAGTAAACAAAAATGAAATTAATCTTTGACATCGATTCATTTAAATTTCTTTTTATTTTACAAAATATTAGTTCTACCATATTATAAAATTCCATTTATTTAAACTCGTCGAGTAATCAACTCACCTCTCACAACGATCATCTTCAACGGGTCCGAGCAATATCTCGAACTAGTAGTGTCCGTGCCCACGATGTGTCCGCAATGACCATTCGCAGGCGCGTAATGCCCGTGTTGACCGGAGTTTCCTGGTTCGTGCGATATATTTCCGTTTCTGTGATTAGCGCCATACCTCAACAACTCTCTGTCTAAGTTTTGTTGGTTCTGAGGCGTGGGTGAATCGGTGGCTAGGGGTTTTCCATTTGGCCAGCAAGCTTTCATGGGTGTATTTGGCGGAGAGCCGGAAGTACTGGATGCTGAAAGTCCTGGTGGGATGGGAGCCCTTGATTTCGGTTGTAGATACTCATCAGCGTCTACCAAGGCTTCTGGACCGTCCATGGCTGATGCAAGATTTCGTATCATCTCCTTTTCGTCCTAACAACAAAATCTCAATTATTTACCGCCCTTGTTACGACGAACAATAATTAGTTAGAAATAAGCGTCCATTTAGAAATTTTTGTAGTAAAGAGAAGTGTTCTGGAATGACATCGACTCTTTCTGTATTATATACAAAGAATGAATTAAAAAAACATTAAGTGGACTTTACCAACCTGCAGTGTATACGAAGGTAGCCTCATGTATTTGTCGCCCTTGATAGCAAGATATCGGCCAGGATCTCTAGACATCTTCGCAAAGTCTTCCGCCAGTTCTTTGAAGCTAGGCCTTGACTCAGCGTCCAACATCCAACATTTAATCATAATCATATACACGTCAATCGTACATATGGCCGGTTGAGGTAACCTTTCGCCTTTTTCCAATAATTCTGGCACGTTTCGGGCAGGCACATTCTCGTAGGGTCTCCCGCCATAGGTAAGAACCTCCCAAATGGTCACGCCGAAAGCCCAAACATCCGATTTATGAGTGAAAACTCGATGTTGAATGCATTCCAAGGCCAGCCACTTGATCGGCATCTTTCCACCGGCAGCTTTATATTGTTCTTCGTTGATGTCCAATAGCTTGGCTAATCCGAAATCGGTAATCTTGACACAGTTAGGTGTTTGCACAAGAACGTTGCGAGCCGCAAGGTCTCGATGAACCAATCTTCTTTCTTCCAAGTAAGCCATCCCTCTGGCAATTTGGGTGCACCAATTTAGCAACGCTTTCGAGCCAATTTTGTCCTTAAATCTCCGCACGAAATCGAGCAAACAGCCTAAAGGCATCAATTGGGTCACTAGCATCATTTGCGACGTCATGCAAACAGCTAGCAACTGAAGTAGATTCGGATGCTCCACGCTAGCCATGATGTAAGCCTCGTCGAGGAATTCCTTCGAGGTATTCGCTCCTGTACCATTACCTTGCAAGACTTTTATAGCCACTGGAATCTTCACGTTCTCCCCTTCTGGCACCCAAACTCCTTTATAAACGTTACCGAAAGCACCGTAACCTAGAATTCCACCTTTTCTCATCTCTTCTTCTTTAATTATACGTAATTTCGCTAGATTTGGTTTCACGCCAGTTGGACGAAGAGGTTCGTTGTCGTCCAAGCCGGTCAGAGCCATTGTCATTTTCACAGTGTTTTCTTTGGCTTTTGCTCGTACACGCCAGAAGTACATGATTATGGCCGCTATTATGAGGAACACTAGAGCGAATATCGCAACGCCTGCTAAGATAGCTGGTTGAAGTTCGTTTTCTACTAAACCCACAGTTTCCAGTGAACAGTACGGTTCACTGTCTGGATTGAAGATCTTGTGCGGATATTCGGGAGTACAGGTTTCCGTGCAGTTGAAAGACGTGG